TGGAAATTCATGAGAGGAGTTTTTTGGGTTGAAAGTTTGGTTCAGGGATTTTTTTGGGTTTTTGTTTTTTCCCCTTTTCGAACATCCCCTGCCCTTGAAAGCCCACGGGAACCCCCCCCCCCCCCCCCCACCCCCGGGCTACATGGCTCACTGGCACTTAGCGGTGCAGCCACCGCTTTTGAGGTTTAGCTTTCTACAATGTATATTCTTGAGTACGTGCGGTTGAATTGAATACCTTTCCAATAACATCCAGTGTGACCCTGGCAAATTCTTCTGCCATATTTACAACAGTTTCGCCATCTGCCATCTCATCCAGCTTGGCCAGAAACAAGTCACAGCTGTTGTTAAACGCGGACATCAAGTTCATTAAATAACGGCGGTGGAACGCCGGATTTAACAACGCTCTTTGCTTTTGCCAAACGCCATGATCGGTCTCCGTTACCAAACCGCGGCCTGCGAATCGGTGACCGAATGGATAGCCAAGATTCACATACGCCTTGGGATTTTTTGGCAGATTTAACGTAATAAGACACTTTTTAGCGAGTTCTCGATCAGAAACGAAAAGAAAAGGTCGGTGAAAGCCCCACATCAAAACTATTGGACCGTAAATATTGTGCAAATCTTGCATCAATTCACCCACTATTCTTCCCTTTTCTCTCTCTCGGCGAATAAGGGGTACGTTACCAAAGAAAAAACTGTCCCTCTTTGGTCCTGGGATATGGCTGAACTTCCAGTGAATGTAAACCAGGTAAATGGAAAATGCCGTGAATATCAAACCCAAAAGAGAAACACTTGCAATAAAAATCGCGGAGAGGACCAAAGCAAGAGCCATTTTGGAAACAAAATGTACCAGGCGAAAAGCAGAGTCTATTTATAACTGTTAGGTATTCGTCTCCAGGTCTCCGATGACCTTCGCAGACCTTCTCCTTCAGTGACCTTGATTGTTGATAACGTCAACAAAAGGAAAGTGAACTTAAAATTTTGGCCTCGTCAGCAAGTAAACAGCATACTAATATTTAGTACTAGTGGGTAAAAACGTGTGACATTTCACGCAGAAGGGCAGCTGATTACGACAGCAGTGAACTTCCCTCTTGAAACATATGTGACAGTTTTACCCTAAGCAAATTGGACACCAGAGGATAGAAGACGAACCGTATGTCTGAAAAAAAATTCCGCCAATTTTTACCTTCCTTGGAATAGCTCTTTTTGTAAAAGACTAGAACACAGACATTTTAAGAGAAGATCGCGACCAAACGAGCAAGTCATCAGCCCTGTCACGTTTGTCACGCACAAATGTTTCGTCGTCCTATTCTGTCTACCGAATAATTAAATTAAACGGGGTATATTATAGCCTGATTCTCAGACGTCCGAGGTCGTTCGCAGTGGGATATTTGAAAACATCTCAGCCAAGCCTAAGAGCGGAGCTCCTTCATGAGACCAATGGCTCACCGGAAACGTAGGCTACGACTAGCCCCTTAGCCAAGGGGCATGGATATTGTCCATGCTCAGGGGTGGCAGACCCCAGTAGAGTGAGCATGCAAAATATGCATGCAAGAAAATTGCCATTCCCCCACGTAGCAATTAACACGCACACTCGAGCATTCCATCTGTTTACTTTAAAACAGTGATTGCATGGCGCCCTGAGTCTAAAAATAACTGGCGGCTATTTGTTTCCAAGCTTCCTCCTCACGTTAACCTGATAATTGTTGCCTCGTGAGCAAGTGCTCAGAATACCAATTTGTTTGAAATAAATGCATTCAAACACTGTTTTGTCTTTTCTTTTTTTTAAATGACTTTTTAAGTTGTGGGCTCCTGGCTCAGCATGACGTCATCGTCCACTAAGGAAATAGCAAAGCCTGTCAGAAAGCAGAGCTCCCGCATGAGAATGACCGTTTACTTGAAATGCTGTCAGCGACTGTCCCTTATTTCCTAAGGTTGAACGAGCACGGGCAATGCTTCACGCGCGAAAATGTTGCCTACCTCGAGGAGGGAGACATCCTGCGCGTGCTATTTCCTCGCACGCAGGTAGCAATTCTACACGTTACCCTACGCGTTGTCATTTAAATTACCTGAAACGAACCTTTAGAGATAGCAAGGCCTGTTTACGAAATATTTTCCCCAAAAATCAGTACAGAGGGCTACAATACATTACCCCCCCCCCCCCCCCCCCCCCCCCGGGCACGAAAAAACAATATTTTTTTTTCTTTTTTTTTTTTTTTTTGTTTTTATAAAAAAAAATTAAAAAAATACAAATAAAAAATAATTTTTTTTAAAAAAAAAAATATATTATGTTTTTTTTTTTATTTTTTTATAATTTTGTGTTACTACAATGTGTTCTTTATTTTTTTTTTTTTTTTTTTTTTTTTATACACTTTTTCATTTTCCCCCCAGCGAAGAGCAATATCTACCCGTTCCCCTTTGGTTTGTATTTTAATTACCCTAAAACAAACTATATAGAAAAAAAAGGCTGTTTTACAAAATATTCCCCCCAAAAAAAATACACAGGGGCTCAAAAAAATTTCCCCCCCCCCCCCCATACACATCTGGACTGGACGAACTATTCTCTTACGATTTTTAGCTTTATTTTAGGTCTGATAATATACAATATTAAAAAATCTAATAAATATCAATATTTCTTATACAAAAGGCTACTTATCGTTTTTCATTGCAATTTTAAATACTAGTCCTTTCACGTGATCAGTCTATTAAGTTCCTTTTTTAACTCTGGTACTTTGGAACCTCTACTTCGGGTGCTTTGTCAGTGGATCTTGGATTCCGGAGTCCAATCGTTAGTGGGATTCCAGATTCCACAAGCAAAAGTTCCCGGGATTCCCTTTCATAAGGCGTGGCTAAGTGCGAGAGCTGAATGTTCCGGGTAACGGACTCCTTAATATTTGATTTTCCACGTTCAGATTTCTAGTTGGAACTAATCACCTGTGATAGGATTGTCTCAAACACATCCTTGGCGGGGCCAGCGTTAAAGAACAAGTGTTCAATAGGTTTTTCCGCCAGACTGCGCAAGGAAGCAACGCTTAACAGTATTTTGCCGAACCGAGCGGGTTGAATTGGGAGCCTGGACCAAACATAGTCTGCCAACAATAGCTGAGCTTCGTCCTGAAGTTGTTCCACTCGATCTTTAGACTTGAGACCATGGATATCTGTTTAGAAAACAGAACACCAATAAAAAAATATATTTTTAGCGTTGCTATAGAGCCAAAAGAACTCTGTAAGAGGTTATCTGTGACTGTTAGGTTGATCAGGGACCAACAGACAATTGACTGGGATCCATAAGAACCTATCGGTTAAGGAAAGAATAACAATTACAAAATTGAAAGGGAGTGAAATTTAGCCCTCCTGTTGTTTTTCCCCCCTCTTATTCGGCTATTATGTATAACAAGACTAAGTTTGACAGATGAAAAAAAGCATAAAATAGTAATTGAGAACACCCCAAAGCTATTGTTGTATAGTGCAAAGAAAGTGGGAATGGCTGACTGCAAAAACCACGTAGATAGACTGTTCACAGTCCCCTATTTTTTCGTGAGATCGTTTAGATATACCGCGTCTTACCGTCACGGGTATCTCGATTTTCAAATGTACCGAAGGGGCGGGCGTCGGGGATTATAGCTCTGGGACTCAGGCAAGATGGCAGTCCGTAACGCAAAGCGCTCGATCTCGATGATCTTAAGGAAAAATAGAGGACTGTGAACAGTCTACCACGTAGACGAATCAACTTGTTCGTTTTCGTTCAACAATTCTTTTTTTAATTTTATCAAATAGTATTGAAAAACAAAATAGTTGCGTCCTTTAACGAAATCTTCCCTATAAAAAGCTTTCATAGCAAGCGTTTCTGTGATGGAGAGATTTTACTTAACCTGAGCAATAGATAGCAGAGTAATACGAACTATTAATCTCTTAATTTCACTGTTTTCTTTTGTTTATTCGTAACTATTCGGCACTAATTGTTAAATACTCTTTCACGGCCAACGAGTTTGGTAAAATAACTCTAATGCTAGGCACGAAAGTAAGGAGTAGAGCAATACCAAGAAATAGAGGGGGGTTGGGGTGGGGAAGAAAGAACTTCGCTTTCCTCCTCTATCCACCCCCCAAAAATGGTGTTTGTCCAAATTGATTGGAAATAACCAACCTCGTTCCCAGGGTTCTCTGCCACCCGTTCCCACGGAGCGAGCGACAGGTAGGAGAGAGAACCTGGGAACGAGGTTCGGAAATGACTTACTTGTCCTGAAGAGAATGACAGCCTTGAGGCATGCGTACTCTGAACTGTCCAATTTAAGCGTTCTTAATGGTAGCAAAGCTTCTCGAGCTGTCTTAATCTCCTGCTCTCTTGGATCACTATCAGTGCTGGCCCCTGAAGAAAGTGACAACGCCCAGAACACTGAATCCAAGAGTAACATCTCCCGCCAGCTTTCTTCCAAAAGAATGACTTGATCGCGAAAGGGCAGCCGTCTGAAGCACGGTAGTCTACGGCCGAACCTTAGGGAAACCGTTAGGAGACGACAGGCCGCATCATGGAGGGGCTCAGAGGAGTGGAATGAAAGTGGTTCCACTGCTTGATGGAGCTCGGACATACTCATCTGAGAGGGCTGAAAGTGCCTCTGCGCGTTCCTAAAGGATACTAATGCCGTGGAGGCCCCGCGGTGGTCGTTTGTCACAGGATCCGAAGTAGAAAACCCGAGAGCGGGCGTCGGGGGACTTGTGTGGCCATTCTGCTGAATGGACGGAAAAGTCGAAGGCGGGTGAAACCTTTGCGTTGATAGAGGTGCTGCTATAGTGTGGCGAGATTGAGATGGAACTGCACCGTGTATAGAGTTTGAATTGTTATCTTGCGATACCAAGGTTACTCGCACAGGTCCTGGCATAGAAGAGGCTGTCATTGATGTGAGAGGAGTGGAGAATGCAACTGAGCGGGTGGAGCTGAAGTAATCTTTAGCGGCTGACATCGAATTGGCGCGTGAGGCAACAAATTCCTCCCCTTGGCTATCCTCGAAGTACCTCGGGCTTGATGGTCTTCTCTGGTTATTTTCCGTTTCAGGTGTTTCGATCTGTTGAAGCGGCTGCTGCTGCTGTTGTTGTTTTTGTTCGTATTGTTTGTCATAATGTTGTTGCTCTTCCGTTTTGACCATGACTGATTTTGTATGAACAATTCTTATCTGTGGAGTCGCACCAGGATAACCTAAACCAGCAGTAATAATAAGACACGGGAAAATGTCAGTTGATAAACACAGTTTGTCAAAAGTCCCGCCAACTTTTCCAGACTGAAGCAATGGCGGATTTTCTGTTAAAATCAAAACCTACAAGAACAGTTTTATCGTCCTGTATTACTTTGTAAATTATTAGAACCGTTGATCTCCAATAAAAATACGGGCAAATGAAACAGATCTCGATAATTACTGGTACTTTCGAAAAACCTACCCTGTGATTCGAGCGGAGGGGTGACGTCCACTCGCATCTCGCCTTGCGTGACGTCCGCTAAACTTTCCGCTGGAGGGGACTTAACAAGTTCTTCGTTGAATCTGAAACGACGGTAGACGCCTAAAAAGATAAACGCAGAACCTTTTTATCCCAACTCAGCCTATCCTCTCACCCGGGGGGGGACTCTGCATATGAAAGGGGTGGGGATGCTCGTCGGAAATTTTGAATTAAACCCCTAAAGGAGACCGATCTGGGCGTGGCCCAAGCTTTTTTTGACCCCTAAAAGAGACCATGTTAAAACACAGACAAATGAAAACAATGGACAAAGACGTCTTCTTTAAGTATTGATGTTGTAGAAGACTTGGATTATATGAATGGAGTAAATAAAACGAATTAAAAATATACATATCAAATATATATTTTTATATTTTTTCGCATGCAACCCTAAACGATACCTTCACGGCTAAATATGATGGCGTTTTGCCCAGAACACCCTAAGTGAGACCAAAATCCGAAATTTACACCCCTAAGCGAGACGACGAGCATCCCCACCTCTTTAATATGCGGAGTCCCCCCCCCCCTGGGCCTCTCATCGACTAAGTCATTTAAGCTTGGTAACAAGTATGGAAAGATTGTACGTCAATCACGGATTTGACATCACAACATATCCTTTAGTGAGTTCCTTACGTTCCAAATTAGAAATGTCTGCAACATTTACACGGAGAAGTTGAAATTTATCAATGACAAAAAAAAGGCCATCAGTTTATTTTTCCTGTATAATTGTAAAGGTGCGCTACATAAAAATCTAAGTAGCGAGCTCAAGTTACTTACAAGCCGCAATTATTCAGTTTGTTTTCCATAAACAAGGCAAAAGCTGTGAACAGCCGAAGAGAGCGGGCGGCAAGTTTCTTTAACCAAGCTAAAGTGTTAAGAGCAATTGTACCACCTATTAAGCGAGTTCATTTCTCTATATTACAATTAAAACATTAGAATAAGCTGCTCTTGGAAAACTACTTATATCAGTGTGAATTACGTAACGCAGATTAGGTGAATTACAGTATATGACATCGTTTCATTTGTCTTGATATTAAGATTAAGAATGATTTTTACCAAAAAGCTGCAAACTTCGTCAATAAAGTTCCAGTCGTGAACAAAATTTCCAACACCATTACTTTTTTGTCCTTAACATCTGTCATTTACTAAACCAGAGAATTCTTCAGCATCTTGCAATTTGATAAGATAATTAAGAACGCGAAATTATGTAATGAATACCGAACAAAAAGCACGGTGTAACTTGATAAGTGCTGGCAGTATATTATCAAATGTTTTCGGTCCATGAGATAAACATCCAATGCACTGTAGAGTGCAATAACTGCCGACAAGTCGCAAGTTGTTTGAAGTTGAGAGGACCCCACCGGCTTTTGTTTCTTCCGAAACTAAAATGTGCACCCATCCAGACAGCCGGAGTTATTAACTCGCTTTCCCTGTTTGAAATCATGAAATGCTATTGTAACTTGCAGATGCTAGATGAATCTTTGTGATCATTGAAATGAAATTAAAGCTGGAGAACAGTACTTTCCTAGGGTTCTGTTTTCCCTACCCTGTAGCCTTTTAGAAGCCATCTGAAACCTTGAAGGTCCTTAAGACTTGACCGTTTAAACTAGAGCTATCACAGAAAATTCTCGGCTAAAAGTTTGTCACCGGAAATCTGTGTTCTGTTCTGGCCATAATATTATTTCTCGCTGGAGTAAACTTGTCAAGGCCAAAACTTAATTACTTTTGACAATTATTGACATCGCTTTTACTTTTAATATTTTCCCCAGCAGTCGATAAATGTATTACTGGGGACCTTAAGATTGGAAAAAAGTAGTTTACTTGAGCGTCAATGTATTTAGTACGAAAGTACTAACTGAGGATACTATTTTACGTCTCCTTCTGGAGGCGGGATCGCTATTTTACGTAGTCATCCGAGCCATGCGAACAAGGTGCAGCCGTTTCCAGAACAAAGGCAGGGCCTTTATTGGTTTTTCAGTTATTTTAAGACCCTGAGTATTGGTCCCGCTGGAATCGAACCTGCGACCTTCCGCTCTGCAGTCAAACGCTCTACTGACCGAGCTAATCCTGCGGAGGACTACAAATTTGATTTTGAACAACCTGTGACGTTAATCTTATCCCTTAAGTCTCTCTAAATGTTAGTCAGTAACAGGAAAGAGAGACTATAAAGGGATCGAAATAGCTGATAGCCTGCGAACGGCAGACGTTTCTCCTCGCTCATCGCCGCTGAGGGCGATGAGCGAGGAGAAACGTCTGCCGTTCGCAGGCTAAATAGCTGTACATCTCTATCTAGAACTCCGACTCAGCTCGCTAGCCTAGAATCTATTTCATCGCCCTAATGTACCAACAAAATAAAGAGCAAACCTTCCAGGTTCATTCCAATCTCGATACATTTCTTCAGTCTACAGGCCTTGCAGTCATTCCTGCTACTCTTGTCCACAGGGCACTGCCCCTGGCCCTTACACAGCCAAGGCTCAGCTCGTCGACACGTCCTCTTGTAGAATCCACTGCACCCATCGCATGAGTACACTCCATAATGCTTTCCAGTACATCTGTCTCCACACACTTCACAAGCTGCAAGAATCAAGAGACCGGACTTAAAGACCGTTTTTTTCAGTGAGTTGGAATTTTAATCCCTCCACTCTCAAAAGTGGCATAACACACAATTCGACACAATTTTTTGTGAAATGCTGGATTAAACATGAATCCTGATAGCATCATGTGAAAGTGTTAATAAAGAGGTTTCATTTTAAATAAATGGTTACACCCTAGGATTTTGTCAACAGATTTAAAAATTAGAGCTACATACTAAACGAACAGTACTGTACCGGCCATGTGAAATTAGTACCAAAGAAGTCTCATGAATGGTCACACCATAGGATTTCATCCACAGATTTAAAAGTTAGAGATACATCCTAAATAAATAGTACCATGTGAAAGTACTGCTGAAGAGGTTTCATTTGAATAGTAACACCATAGGATTTCATCTACAGACTCAAAAGTTAAAACCACGTACTAAATAAATAGTACCATGTGAAAGTACTGCTGAAGAGGTTTCATTTGAATGGGGTACACCACAAGATTTTTTTGCNGAGAAACGTCTGCCGTTCGCAGGCTAAATAGCTGTACATCTCTATCTAGAACTCCGACTCAGCTCGCTAGCCTAGAATCTATTTCATCGCCCTAATGTACCAACAAAATAAAGAGCAAACCTTCCAGGTTCATTCCAATCTCGATACATTTCTTCAGTCTACAGGCCTTGCAGTCATTCCTGCTACTCTTGTCCACAGGGCACTGCCCCTGGCCCTTACACAGCCAAGGCTCAGCTCGTCGACACGTCCTCTTGTAGAATCCACTGCACCCATCGCATGAGTACACTCCATAATGCTTTCCAGTACATCTGTCTCCACACACTTCACAAGCTGCAAGAATCAAGAGACCGGACTTAAAGACCGTTTTTTTCAGTGAGTTGGAATTTTAATCCCTCCACTCTCAAAAGTGGCATAACACACAATTCGACACAATTTTTTGTGAAATGCTGGATTAAACATGAATCCTGATAGCATCATGTGAAAGTGTTAATAAAGAGGTTTCATTTTAAATAAATGGTTACACCCTAGGATTTTGTCAACAGATTTAAAAATTAGAGCTACATACTAAACGAACAGTACTGTACCGGCCATGTGAAATTAGTACCAAAGAAGTCTCATGAATGGTCACACCATAGGATTTCATCCACAGATTTAAAAGTTAGAGATACATCCTAAATAAATAGTACCATGTGAAAGTACTGCTGAAGAGGTTTCATTTGAATAGTAACACCATAGGATTTCATCTACAGACTCAAAAGTTAAAACCACGTACTAAATAAATAGTACCATGTGAAAGTACTGCTGAAGAGGTTTCATTTGAATGGGGTACACCACAAGATTTTTTTGCGACAGCCTCAAAAGTTAGAACCACCTTACAAGACCCTATCATTCTCTCTGGGACTAAAAAAGGGATAACGCCCGTCATCAAACTTTTTTCAGGTTTCTAAATGCTAACTTAAGTGTGAGTTTGGCCTTAAAATTCAAACGTATCTCGCGACAGCCTCATTCTCCGTGAAATGGTCTGCCCCAAAGGAGAACACCTCCCTCGCTAAGCTTGAGTTATGAAATGTCTTTTACACGCCCCAAATCTTCCAAACCTTCACATACACTCGATCGATATTTTTAGCTTCTGAGCTAGTTTGATTGGAGCATAACAACAAAAGAGCAAATAAATATTCACAGTTAGAAGTTCGTGATACCTTCCCAAGTGAAGCGAAACCAACGAGAAAATTCTTCGTCACGGGGATGCAAGAACAACCGACGCTGCCTTGCCATCTCAAGATGGGCCTTTCACGAAACGTTCTAAAAATTTACAAGTTATTTTAGTGCTAAAAAGCACTCGATTTATGTACGAAACGGACACTGCTTCCACTGACCCGTAACATTCGAGAACCTAACACGGAAAAAAGGAAAGCTTTAATTAACGACCATGGCTGTTTGATTTGTAACTATCCTGACAGAAAGTTGTATGGCGCCAAAAAAGGAAAATATTTCTATATATTAGTAATTTAAGTATAGTACTATCTATAGTGCTATCTTGTTACAGAAAAAGTAAATTCCGAAACCTTTTTTCTAAATTGAACGTGGAGTATAAATTGGCGCAGGTGAAAGTCGTCGTTGGATCTAAAAGCTTGAGTAACAAGGAGCTATCCCTTGGAAGAGTCTCTTTTAATACCACTACACTTGTTCTTAACTAATTTTGGTAGTTTAATCATATACCAAAGTCCTGATGCGTCATACTAAGGGCACGGTCGATTGATCGTATTCCGGTACAGGAATACGTGATCGCAAGAAGCGCTATAAAAATCACTTGTTTTTATGGCCTTTATTGCCTGGTAAGATATAAAATCCAGAAATCAGGTGGAGAATAGAAATTGAGATGATTGTAGCATTCAAGTGGTCCAAAAACGTTTTGTTGAAGATATTTTTCACAGAGAAAAAAATCAATCGAATGCACCCTAAGTGAGTTCGCTAAGTCCTTGCTTTTTTGTTTTCCTGGCAAACGACCAAAATTGTTCTTAGGAGGCCGTATATATACAGTAGACTTCCTGCTAGCCTAAAGAGGTCCTGCTGTACTACGGTCATTTTCTTTGACTCTCTAAACGGTGGACATCTAAAACGGACATCAGTGCCTGGAACAACAGTGTTGTCTTAAATATAGGGCCTACCGTATAACGATCAACGTTCAGGTAACGAGACTTGAGAGAAAAGGGTCACGCAGCCGGTGTTCATGTAGTTTATATCAGGGAGCTTAAGCAACGACGACGGCGACGGCAACNATACGTGATCGCAAGAAGCGCTATAAAAATCACTTGTTTTTATGGCCTTTATTGCCTGGTAAGATATAAAATCCAGAAATCAGGTGGAGAATAGAAATTGAGATGATTGTAGCATTCAAGTGGTCCAAAAACGTTTTGTTGAAGATATTTTTCACAGAGAAAAAAATCAATCGAATGCACCCTAAGTGAGTTCGCTAAGTCCTTGCTTTTTTGTTTTCCTGGCAAACGACCAAAATTGTTCTTAGGAGGCCGTATATATACAGTAGACTTCCTGCTAGCCTAAAGAGGTCCTGCTGTACTACGGTCATTTTCTTTGACTCTCTAAACGGTGGACATCTAAAACGGACATCAGTGCCTGGAACAACAGTGTTGTCTTAAATATAGGGCCTACCGTATAACGATCAACGTTCAGGTAACGAGACTTGAGAGAAAAGGGTCACGCAGCCGGTGTTCATGTAGTTTATATCAGGGAGCTTAAGCAACGACGACGGCGACGGCAACGAGAACGGCAGAAAAGAAATAGGTTTGGATTAACAAAACAACAACTTTGCACGTGCATCACGCTTTTTTGTACATTTCTTTGCCGTCACTACACGACTACGACGTGAAAATGCCTAATTTCGCATTTTGAAGAGTACGTGAACAGAGGACAACGCCTTCCTTTTTCTTTTCCTGTACTTTAACACAGCCCTCTAGTAGTACTCAACTCCAGAAAAATTTGCCAACATTGGACGAATTGAACGAAATGGAATTAGCGCGATTAAGTTTGAGGCAGCGCGAATGCGAATGCTTCTCCTGCTTAACGCTTCTAACATATAGCACCTAGAAAGAGATGTCTGTAGTCGTGAAAGATTGCGGCCGTGTTAAGTACAATACAACCCTAAAGCTGATTACCATCGAATAATCTTTGATCCAATAAAAGGAAAAAAAATTAACCAGCTCAATTTTATTTTTTCCCTTTTGACTCAAATTATCTCTTTCTTCCTTTTTCGATAAGACGTTTTTGATGTCGGATTCTTATAATTGGCAAAAAAAAAAAACTCCTACGTGTTCATCTGTTTTTTTATTATTTAAGATAGGGACCGGTATGTCTCTTAAGTTTTCAAAGTGGTTTCGGCTAACAACCCATCATATTAGAAAATTGACCGTTAAATAAATCCGACCTTCACTTATTCTGACGGCGAAGTAGGTGAAAACATTTCTTGCGGCCTAAAACAACTGTACTTTTGTTAGTTTTATAGCAAAGCAAAATACAAAACCGTAAAACAAATTTAAAAGGATGGTTTTGTAAGCTGAAGGGAAATTCAGTATTACGTCACAAATGTAAAGGCTTTTAGCCTTAATTTGCATTTCAAGTGTCGAGTAAAAACATTAATGGACTTAAAGTTTTTGTTGTAGCGCAGATAAGATGTAAGTTGTTCAGTAGATAGGCTGCCCAGCTGTACAAAAGCCCTGCATCATTAAAATCAAATAGCAGGGAACTGCTTCGACTCAAAAAAGAAAAGAGAAAAAAATTCAATCACTCAGCATACTACAAATTAAATAACGCTTCCGACTAATATCGGCTGACTCGAAAAGTGAAATAATGGAAAAGAAAGTATAATTAAAATGTAAAATATAGCTGGCAATCTGTCACCAGCCGTGACGCCGATATTCGATCCATGGGTATTTTTGCTAACATTTGCAGTTAAAACAACATGTTAAATTAAATACACAAAAAATATAGCACGTACGACGGTTTCACTAGAATCGTAAATGATAAACTGTGTTAAGTTTAATAAATCCTGTTTATGGAATATTAGTTTTTAATTTAAATTTTTTTTGTTAGTAGTAATTTACATTGGTACGGAATCGTTTTGTGAAAGGAAGAGTTCCAAAGAAATAAAGATTTTTCTTCAATTCCTATACTAAAAAAAACAGAAATGTCATAATGTAACTAAAAGTGGGGTGTGTGTGTGTGCGTGGGGGAGGGAGCGAGATGAGACTTTTGGTTTTGCGGTTTAAGCTAATTTTGACATGTGTTTTTCGGTTTTTGCCTTTTGAACTTTGTGGTTTTTACGTTTTAATGTTTGTAGGATTATCGGTTTGTTCAGTTAGTGCGGACAAATATTTTTCGGGGTAATCCAAAAATGCATCTGATTCTGGGTTTGCTATCTTGGTCCATTCGTGAAAAGGTATAAGGGAATGCAGAGTTTTATATCAAGCACAACTTCGTCCATGCGTTTGTTAGAGTAAAAGAGTACAACTTGTTTTCATCT